AAATTAGAAAGTGGAGCACTATAATTATAGTGTTCCGTTTTAAAATACATTCCACTAAGTTGTGTCTATAAATTTTTCCATTTTTAATTTAATCCCACACTTTTTTTATTTTAATTAATTATAATGCTTCATTTTTTATTTGTTTTCTTAAAATATGTATTTTATTCTCTTAATTTTAATATTTTTAATATTTTCATATTATTAGAGGATTATTTACAACTATAGTACTTTGCATATTAAGTAGTTATAATAGTAACCTTAATTTTTATATTTTCTTGATTAAATCATTAAAATTATTATATGTAATTGAGTTATATTATTTTACACAATAAGTCATAAAATATTTTCTTAACTGATTAGGAAAGTATTTTAAATGATTTGTTGCTATAAAATAATATTCTTACTATTTTTATGGGATCATAAATTGAAATTAAATACAAATTTATTAATTTATTGCAAAAACATTAATTAATAAACAAAGGTACCAATTTTGGGCGTTGTGGCAGTGCTAGTCCTTCCCCACACGTAACCGACTCTCGAACTCATTTTCTCGTAAGCATACCCTTTTTGTGCTATTTTAATATTATTTTTATAAATTTTATTAAAATAACAGCATTTTTGGTAACCAATCACGCCTCGATAAAATGATTGGTGGCGACTCCACAAATTATATTTTATCTTATGTAAGAAGAAAAAAACTTACTTTTTCGAGATGAGATTTAGAAAGCAACGACACTTGTTTTCGCCGGGCGAAATACTGTCTCGATAGGTTAACCGGCTGAACTAATTTGACCCTGACCAAATTGGTTAGAACGGTCAACCCATTGACCCGACCCATTGGCTTTGACCGTTGACTTTGATTGTTGACCCTTTTTTTAAGAAACCTATCTTTATGTTTTTTGACGTTCTTAGTCTGTTTTGCTAAATTCTGACCCAAAATTCCTTTTTAACATCATTTATTGTTTAAAGTTGTAATTTAATTAAGTAAATTGTAGAATTTTAGACTCACTTTTTGACGTTATTTTCTGAATGTGATCACATTTCTCTGCATCGTTCTCTGATAGATCATGACCGTCCTCGCTCATCTCAGCTTAATTTTGCCTGCTCATCTCGAGATACATGTAAGTATTTTATTGACTTTATAGTCTTTTTTTGTTTAGGATTATGGATTCCATGTTCATAGACTGGTATTATTTCAGGTTCTCGTTCTGCAGGGCCTAATATTATTGATCATGGGAAATATAAGGCTTAGCTGATATTGATTATCTTTTATAGGTGTATTCTCTAGACGTATTCAAGATCTTTTGATTTATTATGCTATTATGTTATATGTCCTGTTTGAAAGCATGTTTACCATGATTACGATTATCTGAGACATAACTGATTTCTGAATTATGTGAAATCATTCATGATCTTCATATTGATATAGTTCTGATCCTGCATGGGACTCCGTTCCCCGTCATGATTCTGCATAGGACTTCATTTCCCGTCCTGACATTGCATTAGACTTCGTGTCCCGTTTTGATTTTGTATGGGACCTCGTTCCCCATTGTGATTCTGCATAGGACCTCGTTCCCCGTCCTGTTTCATGGGATTTAATCCCCATCCTATTTCTATTTGGGATCCTCTTTGGAGGGTTGTATCCTCTTCCTAACTTTTTGTAATCAACTTGGGTACCTATTCGGAGGGTAAAATTCCCATTTTGATTTTTCATGGCGTAAGGTAAATCTGTATGATATTGATGTTGTATTTCTGAATATTTAATTCTGAATTATTGTTGCATTCTAGTTGTGTTGTACTATTTATACTGCATAATCTGTTTTACTTAGAATACACTGGTTTTCATGGCTCACTTCCTATTTTATATATTTTCAGATTACTCAGACTTTTAGGATTTATGACTAATACTTAGAGGATCGTTAGTTATCGTTTTCTTTCAAACATTGTATGGATGTTTTCTTTTTAGACTTTATGTTATTTGCTTTTTTTTTTGGTTGATTATATATATATATTTACGAGATTTAGAATGTTAAATTACTTTATTGATTTTTGAATTTAAAACTTATGGTGTATTATATATATATATTGAACTCCTAGATTTTGATGGTTTATTAATGATGCTTGTTAAAATATAAGATTTTTCAATCAAACATTGTTGTGGTCCTCGAGATTCAGCTGTAACATCCAGTTCGGGTCGTCTGATGGATGTACTCAAGCATCTGATTCTTTTGATCCGAAATGACGTGCTCGAGCGTCTGATTACTCTAGTCCGACTGAACATATTGAGCATACACTTGTCACTGGAGGCAGATCTACGAATGATTTAGAGGATGCTATTGTGGGTCGAGCATGTTACGTTTACTTTAGAGATTTGTTGGGATGCATCTAGAGGACACTGCCACTATTATCTCATCGACGATGTTGTGTAACGGGTAGATTATTTCAGAAGGATCACTCGAGCACATGATTTTTTTTTAATTTTTAATTATAACGTAACATTTTTATTAAAGGATTAATGAAAGTTAATGGTTGAGTGAACCAAAACCAAACCAGCCAATAACTTAAGAAATTAGAATCACTTTTTTTAACGGATGATCAAAATCGATCAAACCAAAAATATAAAATCACATTATATATTTGATGAAAATTCATGTATAATTTTAATATTAATCTATTTTAAATACATAGTTGAATTAATCCTCCGTGCGACTTGTATACCTGTATTATTCTTCAACTTTCCAATACTTCAATAGTTTAAAATTGCTTGAATGACCGATTGGAAACCAAGTCCCCAACGGTAACCATATTATAATTCCCCTAAACATTATATAATCTAAAGCAATTTGATGTTTAGGAAAATAAAATATAATTTGTTAAAAATAAAGTAATGCTTATATAATATCACAAGCAATAATAAAGAACAAAGCATTGACCTAAGACTGTTTAAACTTTAAACTAAATCAAGGTATTGCATTAACATATGTAATAGTCTAATCATACATGTTGAGTTATGGGTAATTTTTTTTATATTCTTGTATGACCTGTTCCATACATGCATTCGTACGCAGTTTAATACTATACGTGCTTGCATATGCACTTACATTATCATTCTTCACATACATGTATTCATATGCACTTACATTTTACGAACCCTTTTGAAGAATAATCGTAATGTACATCAAAATACTTTAATTTCATGATGCATAGCGTTACATAACGAGGTGTGCAAGCTATTGGATATATATATTAACAAAGATGGATGTATGATTTTTATATTAAAAGATGAACTATTGAAATTTTAAGAGAGAGTCATTCAATTATATAATTTGACATACCGATGGCGGAACTATATTATTCAAGCAAGTGGGTAGTTTTGGAATTTGACAGAAACGTTTAAACTTGAAAAATGATTAAGGGTTTTGCAGACGAGGAACTCACAGTTTTTGCCCATGTTTGACATCAATCCCCACACTACGTTTTTAAAACCCTAAAACCTTTCCCCTCTTGGCAAATAATGTATAGGTGGATGTAAAAAGTACGTAACAACGTTGGATTTTGTGTTAGGGATTGAATTTCTAAAATTTTAGGATGGTTGGATTTATAAAATTTCAGGAGACTAAAAATAGATTTTTAATAGAAAATACATGAAAAAATATAAAACATATAATAATTTTAAATTTTCAGAGGATGACAGCTCCATATACTACTCTCAATCCATCCTAGTCAAAAAGTGTCATATTGAATAGTTTTTATTAATAATTTTTCAGAATTTATCAGTTCAAATCAAAATAACTAATATAATAATTAAAATATCATACATTTAATCTAATATTTTTAGGGTGAACTACAGATTTAATTATTCAACTATCATTTTAATTTAATTATAGTCAATCAACTATTTTTTTTTTCAAAATCATCAATGACGTTAAGTTTTGATTTTATTTTGATCATATGCCATTAAAATATTAACGATGATAATGGTATGTCATCACATCATCATTGAAAAAATAAAATACAACACATCAATAGTTATGTTAATTATTAAACTGTATGTGACCAAAATAAAATTAAAACGTAACGTTAGTTATAATTTTTAAAAAAATAATTAGTGACCAAAATGGAACTAAAGTGAGAGTTAAGTGACATATACATAAATTATCATATTTTTGATCTAATATTCACTTTGATTTTTTTTAGTACTTTAACTCCCAACTTTTTATTTTAGAGCAAAATAATCATTCGTCGTCAGCATGATAAGTCTTATATGTCTAAAATGAGGGCGTGACACATACAACATTGTCGACATAAATATATGTTTATTGGACGTGTTCATTTATCGACACACCCCAGTTGTACGATGATGAGTCGATCGGGACCAAATCCATCGAGTAAATATTTTCCATCACTAGGAGAAGGGGATGAGTCTCGGGCTAAAAACTTTGATATGAACAAATCCAGCGGCCATGTGACATTTGTAATATAATGTGCGAAAGTTCAACGAATGGTAGCGTTATTTGACATTAGGTGGTGACCGTGCATTGCGGCTCTTTCTTGATTCTCTTTGCCTTAACATGTCATCTAACACACAGTTGAACTTCGTTTCTTAATGCAAGTGGACTGAGTTCCGTTGACATTTTGTTTATTTTACCACGAAATATGATTTATTAAGCAATTTTTTAGAGTCGAATACAGCAGCCTCTCTATAAAAGAAAGGCTACTCGTCTGGTTTCACAGAGAAGGCAGAAAAAAAGGAGTAGAGTTTGATGAAGATGAAGAGATCATGCGGTGATGATGAAGAGAAGACATTTGATTCTTCTTGTGGTGATGAAGAACCTGCTGCTGCTGCTGCTGTTGTTCTTCATAAGGTGATGAAGAATGAGAACACAGCTTTCTCTTTGCTTTAATGGCGGATATCTGCGATTTCTTTTACCAGTTCTGTTATGTTCCTTCTTTCCATAAATAAATTTTTTTAGTTTTATCTGGTGTTTGAAAAAAATAAAGAAACTTTGTTTTTTTTAATATATTTCATGTTGTTAATTTTGATCAGGTAGGAGATAATACACCATACTTTGAGAATGATGATATGAAGCCATCTTCCCCAGGGAAAAAGGATTTAAGCAGCAGCAACAACAAGGTAAATATATATATATACTTTTAGCCCTAATCTTTGTTGTTGTTGTTGTTGTTAAAACAATAGATTCATTAAGCTAATATGGATTAGTTTATCTTTTTATCAATGGTGAATATATCATTTATTTTTATCTTTTTACATAAAAAATAAAAACAAAAAACTATAAAAAACAATAAAAATATTTTAAATAATAAAATATTTATAAAAATGTGAAAAGCATATTAAATTATATATAAAATATGAAAATTAAAAAATATATTTACGACCTATAATTTCATGTGTATTTAATTTGCAATTCGTAAAATATTAAGGTAAATACATAAAATATCTTTAATTTGTCTTCAAAAAATTATTTAATCACTAAATTCTTAAAAATTATAAAATAATCATTAATATATACCACCACAATTTAAGTTTTTCATATTACCATATTTTATAAAATTTTAAGATAAAATTACACATTAATTAGCCAAAAAAAACTATTTCTACATTATCCAGAGAGGATAATATATTTCTGATCCTAGATTGTTCTCATGTGACATCTTGCCGATCGACATCTGCATGCATATCTGGGTTTATGAAGTATTCCGTCAATTGTACAAGAAAGAGACAGGTAGGAACAACTGGTTGTGGAAGAAACAAGGGCAGCAAGCAAGACAAATTTGACAGATTTTTTTTCCCTACAGACAATAACAATTAAACAATTTTTTTTTTTTGTTCTCTATAGATTTTTCAACATTTTTATTTTTCTTTGATCCCTTGATTTCTAAGATCTTGGCTATATCTATATTTGTTCTTTGTCCAGATGCTGGACTTGAAGTCGTCACCATTACTTTTCTAATTCATTTTTCTCCTGTCCACACTTCAAGCTTTGATTTTTAATATATATTGGAAACATCTCAGACATTTCTGCTAACTCAGTGTATAAAACTAAACAGGTGTCTGTAAAATCTGATACTGCAAGAACAGAAGCTGAGTACTCCATGGCATCTTCTTCAACTCGAAAGGATCAGGTTTGGTTATTTAACTATATATATATTTGTGCATATATAAGCATAATATATTGCAATCATTGATGAGTTATTCATTGATTATATGTGTATGCATGGATGCATGTATAATTTTTTTTATAAGTTTGATGATCTTATCTTTAAATTAAGAATCGGTTCATTTTATCAACAGATCACGTGATTATTGTCGTAAAATCAGTTTTGTGTGTATGGAAATAGGACGATCAGCTTGAATCAGCCAAAGTCCATATGGGAGAGGTGAGAGAAGAAAATCAAAGACTAAAGATGTATTTAAAGAGGATGATGAAGGATTATGAGGAGCTAAAAATGCAATTCTACAACGTCGTTGGACAAGATTCAAAGAAAACCCTAGCAACACCAAATATAGACCACCAAGAACAACAAGCCGAAGAAGAAGGAAAAGAAGAACCCGAGCTTGTTTCCCTTACACTGGGAAGATTTTCATGTGATTCGAAAAGGGATGATAAGGGAAAAGCATGTAGCAGCAGCCATGGAAAGGAGGAGGAGAGAGGCAATGAAGGTTTATCTCTCTCCTTGGATAAAAAATTTGAAGCTTCCAATATGTCCGAGGTTGACGATGAACCTCTGCCGAATCCGAGCCCGGTGAACACTTCTCAAGAACCCAAGGAAGAAGAAACATGGCCGCCGAGCAAAGCTCTCAAGACAACCAAAAGTGGAGGAGACGATGAAGTCTTGCAACAAAATCCAGCCAAGAGAACTAGGGTCTCCGTCAGAACCAGATGCGACACTGCCACCGTACGTGCATTACTATCTCGTTTTCGATCACATAACCGTTTATACATGTCTTACTTTATGTTGATATTATTCGGTTATTTTTCGATTCTAAAATTTCTAACGGTTACCTTGTAATTACAGATGAATGATGGATGCCAATGGCGGAAATATGGACAGAAGATTGCTAAAGGAAACCCTTGTCCTCGAGCATATTACCGTTGCACGGTTGCACCTTCCTGTCCCGTGAGGAAACAGGTTCAAAGATGTGTCGAAGACAGGTCGATCTTAATCACAACATATGAAGGAAATCACAATCATCCACTTCCAATGTCGGCCACCGCAATGGCTTCCACCACCTGTGCGGCAGCTTCGATGATATCGGCCGGTTCGACATTGTCGGCCGGTTCCAACGTTCCGTTATCAACTTCCTCACACCCCGCCCTCCATGGACTCAACGTTTACCTATCCGATAACTCGAAATCGAAGTTCTACTGGCCCAACACTTCACTATCGTCCGCCTTGTCGCACCCCACGATCACTCTCGACCTTACTTCAACACCATCATCGTTTCCTTTCAATAGATTCTATTCGGCTTACCCCACCACGTCGAGATACAACACTCCGACGACGAGTCTCAGCTTCGGCTCTTCGGAACCGAACATGGTGTCTTGGGGCAGCGGGCTCCTTACCTACTGTGGAAGTAGTACTCAACGTCAACAACAACCCTACATGAAATCCCACGACGGAGCTCTCAACATGACCGGAAGAGTACCGCAGCCGACGATCGAGAATAGCATATATCAATCTTTCATCCAAAAGAATCATCATCAACGTCAACCTCAGCAGCCATTACCGGATACTATTGCGGCTGCGACCAAAGCGATCACGACAGACCCCAATTTCCAATCTGCATTAGCTGTGGCTCTCGCGTCGGTCATCGGAGCGGGCAATAATGGAGGTGGAAGTATTGGATGTGGGTCTAGCTTCTTCAACAAAGCCCCTTCCACTGGTTCGCAGCCAGGGAGTTCGATATTTCTACCACCTACAGCTGCTTTGCCATTTTCAACGCCAAAGAGTGCTTCCACGTCTCCTAGTGATACTGAAAACCACAGCTACTGACTTTTGTTTTTAAATATTGATTTGTAATTAGAAACGGTGTTTATTCATTTAGTCTTGATTGGCATGTAATGCTTAATAATATGAAGTTTGAAGACATTTTCCTCTCGAAGAGAAGGATGGAGGAACAAAACCCTCTTCCCCCTCCTCATGTGTGACACTCCGATCATAATTATTACCTAACGAAAAATATTTATTGTAAACCAAAATTCAGATGCACTTGATGTGTTCCACTCCAAGTTTGTATGTGCTGCTAAAAGTATGATGAATTTTACCAAGCCTGATATAAACTACGACGATAGTTGGTTGAGAAAAAAAATATGCAAACAAACTAAATTATAATGTGCTGTGGTAGTAAAATTATTAAGATATTTAAAAGATATTGTACCTATCACCATTTGGAGATAATCCAAATACTCTCTTCATTTGACTATAGTCTCTCGAATTGATTGATATTAATTCTATCACCATTTAAATTTATTATCCGATAATCAGATTTATTCCCAACCCATCGATTGTTATCATCTCTATGATTAACACAACAATAGTGTTGGGGACATATATATCCACACAAACAAGATTAAAGGAAAGGATTTTCAACCTTATACCAACTGTACATCAACTTCTCAAATCCTTTCTCTCATTTATCCAGACCACTACTGTTTGCAACTCTACACCCAATCCAGAGAGAGTGAATTCTCTAAGACCGCCACTTTCTTATTCAGACTATCAACGCAATGATATTTCGTAAAATTTAAGGGTTAAATTAATATTCTATCTAAAGGTTAAAGGTTAAAATAAAAAGTAAGTTTTTTTTACTAACATATCATGTAATCATCATTTGCACAATAGATTTCATTTAATATTTTCTTGTTTTGTTTTGTGTATGATTATCTTGATATGAAGTCGATTATTATCCTTACCGATTCCATTTCTTACTTAAGATAACAGAAGGTTCTTATTTTTTTTTTAAATGATGTAAAATGTTTGAACAATTCAGAGTTGTCTCTTAACCAGTCTACGGAAAACAAGGATTCAAAAGCAAAACGACACCGTTTACCTCTCTTAAGTCGAAACAAAAAACAAACTCGTACACAATATAAGGTCAGGCAGGTTCCAAACGACAAGACAAGAAGATGGGGGCATAATAAAAGTGGGGGAAAAAAGATAAGAAGCGATGGTGTTAAACAGCTCGGTGGTGGTGGCAATCGCCAACTTGTCAGCCAACTTATGCCAATACGTAGCCTGTAACCCGGAGAGATTAAGGAGCAATCAAGTATTGTGCCTCATCTTCTGCTTTAGTCCTCCCGATCACCCTCTCTCCGATTACACTGACAGCCACCGCCGACAAAGATGATGCCCCGGTTATTGATTATTTCAGTTACACCCACCATGGTCTTCTTCATCTTTTTTCTTTCTCTTGTAAATTCTTGAAATTTATCAAGTTTTAGGGATACCCAAATCTTTCCCGGCTTGTTTTTCAGGTTATTGTTGTTTGGGGAATATCCTCATCTCTTGTAAATTTTTAGGTTAATTACTTGGTGATTAAATAACAAAACAACAAAGTTGAATGATTTGATATTGTTTGTGTATAGAATACCAGACAAAAAAAAAACAGGGTCTTGAATTCACACCAGATACAAACAACAACCCAATAAAGAAGTAAAATAACCCAATACAGGATGGAATTTAACCTCCAGACTGCTTTCTTCTGTCAAAGGCGCATCCTGTAAAGGAGGAACGTCAGAATTTTCTTTGTTCTCCTCTTCAGCAGTCTCTGCTGCAGCTGATGGGATAATTTGTTCTGTAAACAAAACTAAAATTGCATTAGTCATGGGAATATTCATATGCTGAACCTAAAATATATCTACACCCCTTGCCTTCTTTATTATCTGATTTGGCTTCCTGTTTCTCAGTCCTTTCCATCCCTTTAACAGGTTCTGGCTTGGTTGTTGTTGTCTTCTGAATTGTGTTCTGTGGCTTACGAGCCCTCCCGGTGTCGGGATCGGACCTCGAATTTGAACTGGTCTTATTCGAATACCTATTACTGCTTGCAGCATTATGCTTTGGTGTAGCCTGTTTTGCTGATTTAGCCACGGATGAAGCCTGAGCAACAGCACTGTTCAAGGACTTGGGTTTCAATCTTCTAGCTCCTGCTGAAGGAGAAACCCTGTGAACCTCATCATCAGATGACCGAGTTCCCTCTCCAGGCACCTGCGGTTGATCGAAAATTTCCAAAACATTGTAGTGTTCAATTAGCTCCTTTATAGCTTCCTCATTTTCACCGAGATTAAGTCGACGTACATACGATTTAAGCTCGTCGGCAATTTTCTGAAGAGGCTGGATTTGGTGTTGTGGTGAAGATTAGACCAAAAACAAAGATAAGTTGAAATCCAATTGCACACGCCATAGTGATTACGATTCATGTGTTATCGCCGGAGGAATGTAAAATAATGCAAAGTGAAATACACAAACGAATGAAGCATATATACCTCACATCCAGCTTCTAAGGCAAGATTGAAAAACCCAAGTGAGACCGAGTGCTTAGAAGCTGATTCAGAGAGCTTAATCTGAGACAGCCAGTAAGAAGCCTACGACAGCATATCGAACCTCCTTCGAGTCGATGATCTAGAAGCATCGGAAAGAGCAGTGTCACTTTTGCCCCGACTATTTGTAGATTTCTTGGCTCTACCTTCATGTATAGTAGGGGTTACCCCCAACAAATTTTGGAGACGGAGTCACAGTTGATTTCGTTGGGATGGAGAGTCTCCTGGGTGGCTTCCCAGATTTCTCCTTTGAAAGATCAAGAACACCTACACTCTTGCTCAAACTTGGTGTTGACCTCCCCCTATGAAGACCAAAACAAATAAAACCCTAATTCATTTATAACAATTTAAAGGCAACACAAATAAGACGATCAACTAGTAAAATTGTTAGCTGCACAGCCATTATGCCATTATATCGATTCATTTTTCGAAATAAAGATATAATCATTCAAATCTAGGAAAAACACGTTATGGGGGGAAGACTGTTTATATATGGATGATTAATTCTACAGAGACATTAAACTGAGCTGCAAGCTATACAATTTTGAATACCTGTAGACGATGAAGAATTGGATAAATCAACCGCCGGTGGCTTCTCCTCCTTTGGTTTCGTCAAGGATCGAAGTGGATAACGGATCTTCGATCTACCTGCACTCCCTGAAAACATCCCAGAAACAGCAAAGGAGTAATTAAATCATTATGTAGTTTATTTGGCAAAGAAACTGTCTCGAAAACATAAAACTGCAAGACAATCTAGTATACCATTGCTTCTTTCATTTACCAAAATCAATGGATATTCTAAAACCTAAAAGGAAATATAAAGAAATTGATATTAGAGAATGAACCGGAAATTGGAGCAGCAGATTGTTGTTTTTTGACAGCCTCCTCCATGATTGTTCGTTTCTCCTCCAAGATTTTTCTCAAACGAAAGGCAAAGAAAAATTCTTGCTTGCTTGTTTGCTTTCAAGGCACCAAACAAACCCAGAATTTTGTATCTTATTTTTAAAGGAATTGTTGCCCTTCAGTTGATTCACTGCTTTACTTTTGACACAGTCTCATAGGCGGGAAAATTAAAAATCAACAAAAAAAACCCTAAATTGATCGAAAATCATAAATCCAATAGCTACTCGCAGCTCTTTGTTTGTCATCCACTCGCTTCATTTCACCGCTACCTGCCCCTTCACAACTATCCTCCTCCTATAACACCGCCGCAGTAACGGCTATGTAATACACGTGTCGACTATATGAAGGAGAGTGGGATTTTTCGTCTGGTGCGACTGGTGGTGTGAGTGAAGTGAAAAACGGTAGAGGGGAGCTGGTAGTAGAACCCACGCGCCACACAATAGAAACATCGAACGGGTCCCGACATTTCGAATTTCAAAATTCAAAAAGATTAAGAATTAAGAACCGGTTCTAAAAACGGATGAGACATGCCACACTTAAATAACACGAGAGACATAGAGTATATACGCTTAAAATGTTAATAATATCCGTAATAATTATCGTTTTTAATTTGTTTTATTACTGTTTATAACATTTAGATGTAATCTAAAATGTCTAAAGTTTCAGCTTAAATTTTGATAACATTTTAAACTTAACCTCAAATATTAATGATATTAATAACATTTACCGTTTATAACTTATTTTATTACAGTTTATAATTTTTGTGTAACATGTTAATAAGATTGATAATATTTTAAGTTTCAAATTATAACATTTTGTATTTTGTTTTTAACTTATTACCTTTTTAACCGATTACGCCGTTTATTAATCTTATTTTTAGGTATCTCATAGTGGAACTACCCGTTGAGATGATGACATACATATATAACACGAGAGATATCGAACATGTGGGCCATACGGCTCAAATTACTTCGTTAACTGCTTGGGCTTATCGTTTAGACTTTAATATCCAATGTAAAAATTTAGTTTTTCCCAATGATTTTTATTAAAAGAGTTTTTCACCTAAATATTTAACATATATTTTATTATACGATCATTATATGAGTTAATTGCATCATATATCCCTAAAATATGATTTATTTTAAATTAATCTTTAAACTTTTAAATATTCCAATTTCATCCTTAAACTATGACTCTCATTACAAATTAGTCCTTAAACTTTTGAACATTTGAATTTCATCCCAGAACTATTAATCTCATTATAAATTGGTCCCTAAACTTTTAGATATTTCAATTTCATCCTCAAATTCATCCAAATATGTAATCCATTTCAACCATTAACCTAAATTTTATTTTTTTCAAACATATAATAATATAACTTGTCTAATGATTTTATTAACAAAAGATGTGATTAGTATATACAAATCATTTAGTATAAAATTGAAATATTCAAAAAGTTTGGGGACCAATTTAGGATGAAGATCATAACTAGGGGATGAAAATGAAATGTTCAAAAGCATGAGGACCAATTTAGAATAATATTCATAGTTTAAGGATGAAATTGAAATGTTTAAAAGTTTAGGGACTAATTTGAAATGAGGGTCATAGATTGGGGATATATCATACAAGTGTCATTAATTTTAGAG